CCGACTGTAACTGTTTGCAGGCATAGAAAGCCCTATTCTTCGCCAGCAGAGTAGGTTGCAGCCCCACATGTAACCACTGCACCACCAGGCTCCTTTCTTGTGTAGCTATGAAGTTGCTGTCGTTCTTTTTTTTTCCCTTTTCTGATGGTGCTGTTTTTTTCTACATAATTTTATATGCTGAGTTTATTTTGTCTTGCAATTTTCTTTTAGTGTTTTATTAAGTCTATGAGTTTCCTTTTTATTTTGAGCTATGCAGTGAAGTGAAATTGTTTAAATATGGCTCTTCTAGTCATTTGTCTATAGTTCCCACCAAATGACTGGGTCACATCAGGCGAATGCAGTCTAAAGAATCCTAACTTGGATATTGGTCAGTGTACCTACCCAGTCACCAGGGTTTAAGCGAGCCATCTCTGAAGCAGGGAGAGATTCCTGTGACTGCCAAAGAGCAGCCACCAGTGAATCAGCCTCCGTGAGCTCTCGGCCTGAAGGGGTAGGGCGCAGCAAATCCCAAGCCAGGGAGAGGGGAAAGAAAAAAAGAGCATGACAAAAGAGAACAATAAAGAAAAAACTAAAAGAAATGAAAGGAGAAATAGAAGGGAAGGGAAGACATTTTTAAAGCAAGCAGGAGGGGGACAAAGGCGGGGTGGGGGTCAAACTGTACAAGGAAGTGAGAAAATGGTCCGGGGTTAGCAGCTCCATAAAGCAGAAAACGGGCAGGTCACTCGGTAAGGGGTTGTTGCCCTCCACCAGTCGAGGAGCTCAGTCAGGATAAAGAGGTGGGACTCTCCATCCTAAGTGGAGTTCCAGCCTGCCTAGGAATGCTGCCTAAGGTCAGTGTGTCTGATCTTGAAGACACTGTGTTGACTCAAAGGGTGCCTGGGTTGAAGGGGGCTTGTTCCTGGCTGTAGTTCTTCAGGACCCAGAGGGAAATTGGGGGCAGCGAGGTTAGTTATGGAAGGAGTTTCTGCCCATCCAGTTACGCGTCCAACTCTGTTATGTTGGTCTGATGAGGCAGAGTTCACCCACTTCCAGATGCGAGGTGCTGTGTACTCATCTCCCAATCCATGGGCTCCCAATCACTCAACAGCTGCTGAGTGAGTGAGGGTGGGGGCTGGCAATGCTTCTGGTCACCAGGAAGGTATGGGACGCAGAGGGAGGAACCCATCTTTCTGGTCACCAGCCACTCACTGGTCTGGGCATTTGTGCTGTCCTGAGCTAGCAGGGCATGGGTATTGATGTCCGGATCAAATGCATGCAAAAGTTCAAAGTGGCCACGCTGTGAGGCTAGCCTACCGTTCATTTATTCTGTCGGTCTCCTCTCTTCCCACTTGTATTCAGTGTTTTCTCTCAGTCTGCATTCAGCCCACTTTGTTCTCTTTTTGTCCATTGTAGGGTTACAGGTGGCTCTCCTCCTCCTCAGCCGGGGGTCTTTGTTGTAGGTGTTTTCTGGAGCATCTCTGCCTAGTCCACCGACTTACTGGGAGTCGGGACTGCTTTTCCTTTCTTCTGAACAATAGTGATAGAATGAAACATTTTGTGAATTTTGAAATAATATACTTCAGTGACATTGCCTTCTTCAAATTATATAATCTTTTATTTTACAAATTATTCATTGATCAGCATTAACATACATTCAATGCATTCTAGGCAAAACCAAACAAACCTTTTTCCCCCATTCCTCTCTCCTGTCCTGTGTAAACACTACTTTTGGCTTCTATATATTTGCTTGTTTCCTGTAACTGACAATAGACACTATTTATCTTTTTGTGACTAATTTCAGTCAGCAAAATGTCATCTAACTTCTTCAATGTTGCGGCATGCGTTAGGACTTCATTTCTCTTTATAAACCCAAACCAACCCCACAGCTGTCAATTCTGGCTCACAGCATTCCTAAGTAGGGTTTCTGAGACCGTAAATCTTCATGGGAACAGAAGCCTCACCTTTCTCCCATGGAAGATTGGAACCACGGACCTTAGAGTTAGCTGCCTAAGATGTATTCCACAGCACCACCAGGGCTCTTCCATGTTGTGGCAGGCCTGTGAACTTCATTTCTCTTTGTGGCTCAACAATACTACATTGTTTGTCTGTAGTACATTTTTATCAGTTGGTGGACATGTTGGTTATTCCTACCTTTGGCATATTGTGAATAACGCTTCACTGAGCACTGTATATACTTGCATGTCTGTGCTTGTGGCTACTTTCACTATTACCACAAAAGTGATGAGACAGCCTACAGAGTAGGCGGAAATTTTGCAGAACTGTATATCCAAAAGTCTACTAAATACTTTTACAAAACACTTTTGCAGCTATATACTTTTGGATATATACCTGAAAGCGGAATTGCTGGCTCATATGGCAATTCTATGTTCAAGTTTCTTAGGAACTGCCAAGCTTTTCTGAGGTGGCTATACCAATTTACAATCCTAGCAGTGGAGGAGTGCTATTATTTCTGTCAGTGGATGAATGTTTTTATTCCACCTCACCAATACATAGTGGTTTGTTTGGTGTTTTATTTTTTTAATCATTGTCATTTTAATGGGGGGTGAATGGTATCTCATTGTAATTTTGACTTGTATTTCACTAGTAGCTAATGACTTTGAGCATCTTTTCATCTTGTCCATTTCAGTGTCCTCTTGGTGGAATGTCTCAGGTTCTTTGCCTAATGTTTGATTGGGTCGTTTGTTTTTTACAAAATACTTCTGCCACTTCACGTTAGTAGAGTTTTGGATATACAGTTCTGCAAAATTTCCACCTAACTCTGTAGGCAGTCTCATCACTTTTGTGATAATCTTTTGATACCTAGAAATGTTTAATTTTCCTAAGGTCCCATTTGGCTATTTTATCTTAAGCTGCTCGAGCTTGGTAGTCCTTCACAATAAATAGCCTACAGTCCACAGGTTTGTCCTGACCATTTCGTCTGTGAATTTTATGGTTTTTCACAGTAAAGGTCCTTGATCCATTTTGAATTAGTTTTGTATGTGGTGATACAACCAAGTTTGGCCCTTGTTTGTTTTGCTGCATATGGAGATCTAGTTTCCCCAGTACCATTTATGAAAGAGACACTTCCTTCCCCCATTGGCCGTATTGAGCAGCTTTGTTGGCTAACAATTGACCTTATATGCATGGATTTATTTGAGCTTGTAATTAAATTGCACTGGTTCAAATGTCTTATACAAGAAACAGGCTGTTGTGATTACTAGAGCTGGATGGTATGATTTGAAATCAGGAAATGCTGACTCCTTCTACTTTATTTATCTTTAGAATTATTGGAGTCATTTGGGGCTTCCTTTTCATATTAATTTTACTTTAGTTTTTGTTTTGCAACAACTATGAAACCTAGTGAAACGTCCCATAAAATACTATTGGTTTAGTGCTTTTGAGTCACAGAAAAAGTCCCTTTTATTTCTTGTTGGGATGGCCATAGAAGTTTATTACTAGGGAGGAAGGCGGACTGAGAGGGGGAGAGACAGGGAACCATCTACAATGAGCAACGTATTAACCCCCAACCGCCACCCCCAGGGGATGAACAAAAGAAACGTGGGCGAAGGGAGACAGTTGACAATGTAAGATAAGAAGGTAATAATTATAAAAAAGACAGTAATACTTTTTATCAGGTGACCTGAGGGTGGGAGGGGAGGGGAAAAAGAGGATCTAATATCAAGGGCTCAAGCAGAAAGAAAATGTTTTGAAAATGATGGCCACACATGTACAAATGTTTGATACAATTTTGTACGTATCATTATAAGAGCTGTAAGAGTCTCCAATAAAATATGTATTTTTAAAGTTTGTTATTAGGATTCCAGGAACCAAAGTCATATCACAGGAAATTTTTGTGCTCATTTCTATAGATAAGACTGTAGACCCAACACATAACCATTAAGCCACAAGGACTCCTATACACCTAGAGGTGATACCCAAATACCTATGCATGGTGTGTTCTAATAAAGTTTTATTGATTTAAAAAAAAACCATAGAAAGTATACAAATACCATAAAGTAGGTAAAGCAACTATTTACCGTATATACTCGAGTATAAGCCAATCTGAATATCAGCCGAGGCACCTAATTTTACCACAAAACCTGCATTAAAAATGTGCTGGAAAAACTTGGCTTATACACGAGTATATACGGTAATCAGTTTCTGGAGGTTTCTTTAAGGACGACTTCAGGAACCTTGGCTTCTACCATAAACTTTATTATTGAAAGACTCATACAGTTTTTGTTTTTAAAGTAGGGAGACTCAGCCTGGGGTATGGGGAGAAGGAGCATCCATACCTTCTTGGAGTAACTTATTTCTGAGTCAACGAATGACCCAAATCATTGACAAATGAACATGTACAATCTTAGGTGAAATAACATAGAATCTTTAGGCTAGATTTAAGGATGTTTTTATTTACAAGATAACAAATGTTTTATTATTTAATAGAATTAAAGTGCTTAATTTTACAATGTTCCAATTATCTGCCTTTATGACCAAATGTACATATGTTACATAATATATACACTATCTGCAAGTATTTTACATTCATACAACTAGAAAAGAAAAATGACTTCATATATACCTTTCACATTGGAGTCAATTGTAGAATTCAGATACCATCACTTTTCAAATTGATTAATCAACAATTCAAAAGGGTCAGTCCATTGTCTCTCACAAAATGAAATGCTTATTTGGTGAAAAAGTTATATACAGACATGATTGTTTTGCTAATGACTGGAGACCCCCCACCCCCAATGATACATTTCAACATCCATAAACTGTAATACATAATTCAATTCTGTTATTCTTAGGATCTCCACGAACTACTATGTCTTTCCCAAACCCACATATATCACTCATCTTATTTGGTATTCACTTATCAAATAAGCTATAATGAGATTTCTTGATTTAATTTTTCACTAAATCTACCACAACAAATTTTAATCAGGGTAACCATCAGGTGACCCTCAGTGACCCTCAGGAAGTGAGGAACTCGCATGTTGTTTCCTCTCCAGAGACTGAGAAGACACTGCCTTCTTCCAAATTCTCCATCAAGAAAATCGCAGTACAGGATTGACTTTACAGGGGATTTTTGCCTCCGTAAAAAAGAAAAGAAAATGGCCAAAGAGAACAAAACACACACACACTTTTTTTTAAAGCCCAAAATGGGAGAAGTAATGACAAGATAACAAAGGGTTTCATTTGGAGGCCAAGGTCGAAGGCATGGTTGCCAAGGGATGCTATCAACATGCAATTACTTACACAAACGTAGACCTGATCATTTTTTATCCCTTCTGCACCTTCTCTTCCTCTAACATACATTGTTCTGATTGGGAGAATAGCAATCTCCTTCCATTTACCTCTCTGTTCACGCTTGGCTTGTTTTACTTTCTAATCTTATTCTTTCCTCCCCTAGCTTTAAATAAAGCAAAGTTACCTTCTCGTAACTATATGACTAAGGGCTAGATCGGAGTAAAGGATGAATTCTATGTCAAACTCCATGTCAATAATTTAAGATAAAATATTTAAGTTAAAAAGAAAATTCTGTATAAAAATTTCATTTCTGTGGAAAGAATTGAAAATGAGCTGTTTTTACATATTTACATACATGTATAAATTCACAAGAAAAGTTTTTTTTAAGTAGACCTAATGGTCCTTAGGTATAAGTCATATTTTCTAAATCTAAAGAATCTACAGTAGATAGTATGAAAATAAAAAGCAGTTTGAATCTACTAAAATTGAATAAGAATGAAGAAATACCACGATCCACTATAGATCTCAATACAGTGCTAAGCATAGGAACTGGTTAGCCACAGTTCTTATAATTAATACATTCTTGAAGGATACAAAATTTAAGAATGAAAACATTAAGACATTTTTACCTTTCCAGTAATTTAGCTTATAATACCATGTGCTTAATCTTCAACCTGCTAACACAAGATGAGCATCCTATGATACACACGTTTTACTTAGTCTTAGGCTTTGCATTAGAGCAAGGATGCCTGACTGAACAAACATCAGACCTCGGTGGTTCCCAAGGAGCTAATCTGCTCCTGTTGGTGCCTTTTTCCCAGGACAGTCAGTCCAGAAAGATGTATCACAGACAATATGCTCAAAATAAAAACGGAAGGCTTTGAATATAATCAGAAATGGTGTCTAAAATTTGAAGGGGGGGGGGAACCACCCTGTTTCCATGATTAATGACAAGAAAAAGGTAAAATAGACTTGTGAGTTTGCAGGAGTACTTTTGATAAAGATTCATCGATGCCTTCTTAAAATCTTATAACAACCCTGCAGCACCATGAAGTTTGCACTTAAAAAAAGCCCAATGTTTATTTATGGAGAGAGGGTTAACTTTTGCAGAAGTTCAGTATTAAATTAGGGGAGGCTACTTAATGAAACTAAGTGTGCCAACTTGTATGTTGAATTAAACTTCATGAAAAATGAAATATAGTAGTGCAGCTGTGCTTAACTGTTTCATGATCCATACCATTTGCAAAAATAAAAATATTATTTGATAGTTATTGATTGCACCTCCCCCCTACTTTCTCATCCCTACATATAACAATTTGTCTTCTAATATGACTTCTAAGAAGTTATTCTTTATATATCCTTTGGGGCTAGAGGCCTTCATATTAAATTTTCTGTATAAAAGCTTACCCTGAAGAGTTTTATTGCTTGCATACACAATGGCATTATAGGTACCTTTATTATGAAAGTGGCTGGTGGATTTTTCATCATTGAGCCCACCTAAAAGCTAGAGATGGAAGTCTGCACTACATTTCATACTTAATATACCAAATGGTAGGCTTTCAATTTCAGTAAAAGTTTTGTTTAAAAAGTTGGAAAGTTTTTAAATGAATAGCAGATTTTATCAAGTATTTTTCAAGTTTGAAGGAAGGGCACTTTAAAGGAAAAAGACTTGGAAAGCACCAAATTAGAGGAATTAATACCCACATGGAATAGGGAGTTTTAGCAAGAAAGTAACCTGTTGATTATGTTCAGCTTGTCACAAAGCAAAAGGTTACTTTTGTAACCAATCACTCACACGCTGTGATCTCTTAGTTTAGTCGGGGTTCTGAAAGGGCAAATGGCAGAGTGGTTGCTTGTGGGGAAAGGTAAGCGGCTTCCCTGCTTCTCTTTGTGCTTGGCTTAAGGTGGTGGGGGTGGAAAAGTAAAGGCTAGAGATCGGAAAACCAAAATTTGTTTCACCTTGCTATTTCTATTACGAGTATGATGAATACATGATTATTCAATAAGCAGTCAAAATTGATGTTTCCTGAGCCAAAAATTGAGTGTGTCCAGGTTACTTCTGTTCCAGGAGAACATTATATTTTTGCTATTGAAAATAGTTTCCAAAATCAGTCTGGCCCATAAAGCTTTTTATTGGCCCTACTCAAATTTCCAAAGACATCTTCCCCTGATAATCACTCCTGGTTTTTATTATTATTATTATTGCTTCTCCTTCCTGATGATTCAGAAAACCAAAGTGACTCGTAGGTTCTAGATTCTAGAGCAATAGTTTACCTTCTCAATCACCACCATCCAGACACACGTCAGTGCACAGTGGGTAGTTAGAACACAGAAGCAAGGTTCATCTATCCCTGATTTAATTTAATAGGACTCAAGGAGCTACCCTGATCTCTCTTTTTGGCTCTGAGTATTTGGTTTCATGTTAATGTTCATAGCTGGTGTTCCTTTTATGGAGGAAGGGACCCTCATCATGATAGTTACCGCTGGTTCACCTTCTCCTTTTAGGTGAAAAAAAAAATTCATTATAGATAGTCCTTATTTAACCATGTGTAAGTTGTCTGGGAAAGAAAAAACATTTAATGTAAATCCATATATCCCAATTCTGTGTAACCTCATGTCCTAAACAGATAGATTTTGGTGAACATTTCTGTACATGCTGATATTAACTGATGCAACAACTATGGGAATGTAGATGTTAAAAAACCTACATGACCGACAGTGCCAGTGACTAAAAAATGCACATTATCTCAGAATAATCAAGACTAAAGCATTAACTGGAACTCTCATATTTAAATAAGCATTATTAGCACCTTCAAAAAGAGGCACTGCTTTTAAATAGGCACAGAGAAAAAAAGACAAACCCCAAATTTTAAAAGTACTGTTGGAATTTGCTAATATATCCATGCCACATAAATTACTGTATTTTCTTACTATAAAAATATCAATACCCTTAGATGTCAATCAAACATAAATCACACGTAACATTTAAGTTTAGAATACTGTTCAATTCTAAGACAAAACATGCTTTACAATAAAAAATAAATTAGAGACAATTATGAACCTAAATCTGAGGAGAAAAGCATGTATTGTGTATATATCTGTTCATCTTTAATACTATGAACACAGAATGGCTATATACTTAAGGTATTTTATTCTTATGAGGCCTACCAAAAAAACATTATCTTAATAAGACAAAAGCCTGAACATCAGCAATTTATTCATTTATTGTTTTGCTTTAAAAGAACATACGTTACTTATTTAGCATTATAACTATAATACGCTAATGCCATCATCTAAACTGTCCTTGTATTTTTTTACCATGGATCTATTTTGGCAACATGGAGGTATATCTCTCAAACTGTCACAGGTCCTACGTGTCAAAAAGACATTAAATAATCTTTTTTTTCCTTAAATGAAAGTGGCCCATTCTAACCTGATAGTAATATAATCAATTGATACCATTTTCTTCAAGACAAGCATACGTATATTTCAAGGAATAGCTCATAAAAAATGCTCCATTTTTCACATTATTTAAAAATTATCAGTGGAATGGCTCTGCACATGAATTTCACTAAGAGTACATAAATATAGGAAAATAGTCCCCGAACAATGCATTCATGAGCTTGCATTTTTCAACATAAAGTGCTAAGAGATGAATAAGGAGATTGGGAATGTCTTAGGCTATAAATCTTGAGACCGCCCCCACTCTGTGGCTGGCCTGGTGTTCAGCATTCTGATTTTTTCTTAGGTTCAGCATGATCGTCCAAGGTCGCTGAGTGCTCATTTGGATCATCTGTTGTCTCACCTGTGACAGCTAAGAGAATGATTTTTAGCCACTTCTGTTTCAGTTCTTCGCTATCTGCAGCAAAGCTGTGTGCAGACTTAGACTGGGTCAGTTTGAAGCTGTGTGGCAGGTCTGCACTTCTTGGCATGTCGTCCACAATATAGCCCAGAAGAGGAATGGTGGCCTGGGCTCTAACATCCTAGGGGAAAAATGTATGTAAGTGAATAGGGAGTATATATTAGCTTGCTACCTCTTTTTCTACTAGTGCCTCGCACAGACTGGATATTGTGAGTGTTCGGTGAACACACTGACTGTATATGAGGCCTCAGGAAATACTGTATGTATGAATTCACAATTATGAGCTGGCTGACACCCAGCTAAGACTTATTGCAGCTACCCTCTCAAGGAGGAAGCCCATTCAGTTCTCTGTCTTGTAAAATGGGGAATAAAATGAGTTCCTTATTGTATAAGCCCAGCAAATGTGAATAATTTCATTACCAAAGGGGTTTTATTTGATGATTCACCCCATCTATATTTACAGACAGAGAAAAGGTTATAGGAAAAAGAATGTAATTATGAATTGGGAGGAAAAATCTGTATCGGTGAATTCTATTTTTCTATCAACTTTTTAAAATCCCTGAATACAATATCAACAATATACTTGTCTACTGTGGTATGTTTCCATAGGGAGGCTGCAAATGCAGACACTTTTCCTTTATCCTGGCTTCTGGGCTGCAGTACAAAAGTCTTTGCCAAGGGAATGCTGAGGCGAACAAGTCACACTGACTTCTCATTTATCAACATGGTTAGGTCCCAAAGTCAGGTCATTATTTGAAAATTGGTGAGGACTATCTCATCACAACTGAGAATCAATCTGACACACAATGAAAACCATCAGAGCAAATCTTTCATGTCACACCTTGGCATTTATGACTGTCAGTCATGTCATTAATGAAGGCACAAAAGTTAGATTTTTGTCAAATAATGAGATAGTTTATGTGTATTAAAATAATTTTACAAGCACTTAATGAAGATATAAATGAAAATGCAGCAGGTACATTTAAATATTTTATATTACCAGAGAGAATGCATGGTTTACTATTAGTTATTGAGAAGCCTTAAAAAAGTTGGTGAAAAAAGTCTATCTTTCAATTTCACTTTTCTACAAAACACATGCCATTTTATCACTATCCATTTGTATAGTTAAGTGAACAAAAACTTGTGTTCACCATGGTGCTCAGCACCATCATTCTTATCTAACACAAGTTCAGGGTTCCTTCAGCATTGAATGAATCCTCCTCTCTTCCCTCACACCTGCCTGACCCCAGTAAACCACTGATAAGCTTTTCTCTATCTCCAAGCTGTTCTTGATGCTTCATATGAAGGGATTATATTTGTCCTTTCATGACCAATTTTTCTCAGCTTAATGTTTTTAAAATCATTTTATTCGGGACTCTTACAGCTCTTATAACATTCCATACATCAATTGTATCAAGCATATTTGTACATATGTTGCCATCATTTCCAAAACGTTGTCTACCTGAGCCCTTGGGAACAGCTGGATATTTTTAAGGTCGCTGTTACCTGTTGGCTATTGTGAGTAGAGCCACAGTGAATACTGGAGGGCATGTATTTGTGTTCTTGCTTTCAAATCTTTGTAGTAGGTGCTTAGAAGGGGATTTGCTGGGCCATATGGCAGTCTGTATTTAAAGAATCATCAGTGTTTTCAAACATAGCTGTACAATTTTGTATTCCTACCAGCATTATAGGAATGGTCCAATTTTTTTCATATCATCACCAATGTCTGTTTTATATTTATATAGCCCCCCTTTTTTTGTTTAACAAAAAAAAATTTGACAAATAACCATTCAAATTGGCCATGCATTTAGCAAATATGTATTGAGAGCACTTTTTATATGCCATTTATGCATGTGGACAAAAATTACTAAAAATGGGAAAGTTAAAAAGAGAAAGAGGTGAAACACACAGTATTATCTTTGAGAAAAAGAAGGCTTCTTAATGGACATGAAGGGATATATAGTTGTGGTTTTGATTTGTATTTCCATAATAACATGACATTGAGCACCTGTTCATATGCTTATTGGCCATTTGAATTTCTTCTTTGATAAGGTATAAGTTATATAATACAGACATATCAGATATGTGTTGTTAGGTGCTGGGAACAGCCTCAGATTTTGTGATGCTAGCAGTGAGTTTTTCATTAATCCCTTAATCTAGCTTGTTCAGCATATTTCTTATGAAAGCATGATGCCGTCTCTGCATCAAATAAATCCTTCAGCGCTAGTAAATTGAAGTGCAATACAATATGTAACACGTGGTGTTAATCTTGTTAGAAGTAAAACTGGAGCCTCTGTGGTTTCCATATTCTTAGATCTATGCAAAGGTGGTTTAAAATTCTCCATGTCAGATTCTTCCTTTGTCAGGTATCCATCCAGGCAGCAAAAAGGCCCCAAACCCATAGCTACCCTCGGCAACAGAGTAGGACTGCCCCTTGGGGGTCTTTACAGAAGAAAGTCTCCTCTTTCTCCTAGACTCACGGCACTGGTAGGTTCAATCTGCTGACCTTGCAGTTAGTAGCCTAGTATGTAACAGCAAAAAACAGTGTTTTTCCATGTTCTATCTTAAGTGATCCACATGGTGAACAAAATATTGGCTCTAAAAGGAATCAATACATTTTAGTAACTAAAATTAAACTTATTTTCCAAATGTAGTGAAACAGGCTCTCTTCTTGATAAAGGACTTTGAGGCCTTCCTCCCTTACCAATGACCCCGGTGTTTGAAGACAAGTGTAATGGACACACCTGTGGGGCACCATACATGTACAGTGCAAGTGGGTCTTGCTTGGGGATCACACACCAGGCTTTCTGCCAAGGTTTTGACTTTTCCATGTACTGTAGAAAGCTGCATACCACGCTATTTCCAGATACTTCTGCTGATTCAATCTATAAAAATGGAGGAAAAAATTGTATGGGTTACAGAGAATAAACACAATGAGGTAGAATAAGTAATAATTCCACTTAAGAGGAAGCAAAGTACAATTTATTAGTTTAAAATACCGCCATGATTTGTCCAAGGACCACCTGCAATTATCATTTAAGTACACATCAAGATCTAGCACTCCCCACGGGAAAATAGTTGAGCAAATGTTTAACTCTATACACTAGACCTTGAAATTAAACAGAGCTATAATTGGGAGAAAAATGAAGCTTTGTACTCCTGTCAGAGTTACAGTCTCAGAAACCCACAGGGGAAGTCCTATGCTGTCTTATGGGGTCGCTATGAGTCAGAATACACTCAGTGTTAGTGAGAGAATATTTACTGACTTCTTAGTGTATAGGCACTTTTTTAAACTTGCTACAGACATCATTCCACTTCACCTTCACGGAAGTTAGCATCAGGCTATCTCCAAGACTCAGAGTTTAGTTAGCTTTCCCCAGTTCATTTAGAAACTGGCATGCTGGGATTTGAACCCAGACGATCTGATTCCAGAGCCTGAACTTTTAACTACAATACTACATTGACTCATACTATGTAAGACTGTAATAGCAAAAAGACAAATATTAATCAGCAGTCCTTATAATTATCAGAAAATTATCTGAAGTACTATGACCTCAAATAATTAAAACACTTTTTTTAACTTGCAATAAATTTTGGACAAAAGTTAGTTTTTCAATTTGCCTCCTAATGCATAAATCATTAGCTAAAAAAAGAACCATTTGATTAAGTGATGGTGTTTATTATACAATTTGGGGGAAAAGCAAAGTGTTCTACCCTGCCCTTGAGGGTCGCTATGGGACAGAATTGACTCACAGGCAGTGAGTTTTGGAATTATACAGAATTTATTGCCTGCTTCTCTTTCCTCTCTGAAATCCATGGCCTTCCATGGAATGATGCTGGCTTACAAACAAATTCTTTTGTAAATCAGTTCAAGGGAATGAGAATATCCACAGAAATAAGACTAAACAATTAAAAATGTAAAGAAAGTTGACTTTGCCATGACACCCAAGTGTAGGGCTTGGAATTTTAATAACATATTGGATTAGAAATCACACTGACCCACAGATGGAAGCAGCATTGGATGGTATATTATGGTCCATAGGTCAACTACATACTTTTTTGTAAATCATGAGCTAAGAATGGTTTTTATAGATTATCAGCAAAGTGATTACAAATGCTAAGAAACACGAACTCTTGAACTCCAATTAAGTGAACATGTTAGCCCTCTAAAGAGAATTCTCATGAGCAGATCCATATGAGTAAAAATCTTAATAAATTATATTTTACATTTTGTAGAAATTTGCTTTTAATTTTGTTTCCCTCATGGTCTGCAAACGTGTAAATGTTTTTCTCTTTGGTTCTTTATAGAAAATATGTGCTGATTTATGGGGTCTAGAGCCCTTAACATACTGATTTGCACAGAGTGAAGCCTCAACTAGGCACTGACGTGAGTCATACACATTCCACTTCTACTTAGAACACCATACCATAAGTCATTTAGATAAATGAGTTAATCTAAGAAACATTTGATGACCACCACCCCCAGTATAATCTGTTTTGCCCTAGACAATTGGCCTGACATTGTCATTTTACAGATACAGTTTGAAATTCACCCTTAAAACCAGTTACCTGGCTCAATCTATTGTGCCTTTCTTATTCACAACTGCTGTTTCCGGAGCCGCTGTAGCATGTCATTCTATCCTCCCCCTCCCCTTAAAACACCTAGTTCAGTCTGCCAGACAAGTAACACCTATTCCCCATAAGAACTAATTCAGGGTTATGCTTCTGGCTTGTGGGTCTATATTTTATAAAATTCAAGATCCACTTGAAGTGAGTCTTTTTTTCCTTCTTAATAGAATGACTTTTCAAGCTTAAACAATGTAGGTGGTCAATACATACTTAGTAATTCTTTAGAAATTATTAATAAACCAACTGAAACCAACATTAGCTATAAAGAATTTTTGAGCACAATCTTCAAAGACTTTCCAGGCTGTCTTTGAACTGACAGCCACAAAGGCCTTATTGTATCATTTATTCCTTATATTCTTAATATCTTAGAGTAGGAAATTCACTTCAGACATAGGCTGCGTTATAGTCCCTAGTTGGGGGTGGTCTGAATTGAATCCGAGTCACATTCACTTAGGAGAAATTTCTACTAGGATATTTCACTGCAGCTTATCAGCTTGTCGTCACTGGATATTTGATACTGGAAGTTTTTCATATTAAATTTTTTTTTTCATTTATATCAGATTTTCCCCCCCAGTAGTTTTCAAAATTGTGATAAATTTTGGAGGAAATGCTCTCTTGTATGTAGACAGTATAATAGTTTGGACACAGAAAAGATGCCAAGCAATGCTCTAATATTTCGCTATAGCTATGTTCATCAAATTGGCATTTTTGCATGTTGTTTTAATATAGCCTCTTTTTTTTCTATATAATCAAGTAGGAGTCTAAGAAGTAGTCTAGATCAAAAGTATGAATTATATATATTATCCAAATTGTTACAGGTATCTTATATTCTTCGGGGAGACGGGTAAAGAGATCCCATATTTCATGTTTATTTCTTACCTCTAAAATGCCCTTCCTTTTCTTTTCTTCACTCTCTGTGAATCCACTTATTATTTGATAGCAGTCTTTACAAACTTTGCTCAATTTGCCACCGTCATATTCAAGTTGAGCTTTGTAATCAGAACACTTCCAACAAACCACCTATAATTAAAAAAGGTAAGGAGAAGTAAATAATACGTCTAAAAATAAAGACAAGTGTTAAGCAATAATCAGTTGAAGATGTGAATGCCGCGTCTTTATTACACTAAGAACACGCCTGTGAACCGTCACAGTGGTCTGAGCTAGCTGATGGCTGTGATGAGCCTGAGCAAGGCGCCTTCTCCTCCAGATTTCTAAATGTAGGAGATGGTCTTAGTAGTCACACCAATCTCCTCCTAAAGCCAGCTCACGGTGATCCTTGCTGGCAGCTTTCCCCTTCCCCCTCGCCCTTACTCTGTTCCCCATTCAGAGTACTCCTTATTACAGAAAATAGCCCAGCAAGCCAGAACCTGAGGAGTCAGCCCTGACACCTCCCTCTGCTTCACCCCACTACAATGTCCTCATGACTTAGCTCTGACATTCAGGAGCTTCAAAACATGCATGGGGAAAAGAAAAGAACAAAGGAATGAGAAGATAATGGAATTTTCCCAGACTCAAAGCCCGCTGGCATTTCCTCCAGTATCTTTTCTTCATCTTCTAGCACTCATCCAACTCCATGCTAGTTATTAGAGCCTCTTAACTGGTCTCCTTGTGGCACTCTTACCTCCACTTGCACCTGTCTCTTCAAGCTATTTTCCGAACTGCAGCCAGATGTGCGCATACAAATAAAGGTTCATCTGATACGTTCCTCATTTGTTTACACTCTACCAAGTTTTCCCTTCGCTCTTCCTCATTCTTTGCCTTGTCCCTCTTATTCCCCATGCTCTCTCTCTCTCCAGTCCCATCGGCTGCTCCTTGCCCCTGCAGTGAGTCGACTTTTGCTCATCCTTCGGCTATAAGTTCACATGTCACCTCCAGAAAGACTCCTCTCGTTTCCAGAATAGAGCATGTTTCTTGTCACCATGCTGCTAAAGCTCCCGACATTTTCTTTCACAGCACTGACGACAGTATTTAATGAGACTTCTGTGGTCATTTGATTTTTTTGTCTCCCTTATTAAGCATGTGAGATTGTCCAAGTGTGTTTTGCACATCAGGCAGACAAACACTCAGCGAATGTCAATGAATGAGTGACTACAATGCAAAAGCATGTTGTTCCTTAGTGAAGGGTATTTTCATGTCTCTTTCTGCAAAATCATACAGCATTTTGATAATCTACATGCAAACACATTTTTATTTTTTTAACGCGTCCTGATGGTTGGTGCTAAGGGATAGGTACTGGGCTGCTAACTGCAAGTGTGGTGGTTCAAATCCACCAGCTGCTTAGTGGGAGAAAGACAAGGCTGTCTACTCCTATAGAGGATCACTAAGAGAACCAAAGGCAGTGGGTTTGTTTCTATAGCAGTATGTTAGTACCTGAAATTATTTCAAGCCAAGTCATTGATGGCTTTAAAAAGGAAAGTGGGTGAAGGGAGACAGTGGTCAGTGTAAGACATGAAAAAATACTAATTTTTAAATTATCAACGGTTCATGAAGGAGGGCAAAAAAATGAGAAGCTGATATCAAGGGCTCAAGTAGAAAGCAAATGTTTTGAAAATGATGATGGCAACAAATGTACAAATGTGCTTGACACGATGGATAGATGGATTGTGATAAGAGTTGGACGTGCTCCCAATGAAATGATTTTTTTTAAAATGTCTTACCCTAAGAAAAAGATGCTCATCAATTTTGATAACAAAACAACCTCCATGAGTCAAAACAACACACTGCCATCAAGCCAATACCGACACATAGCGACCCCTGTGGGTTTCTGAAACTTTAACTGTTTATGGGAGTAGAAAGCCCAATCTTTCTCCCGCAGAGCTGCTGGTGGTTTTGAACTGCCGACCATGTGGATCACAGCCTAACACGTAACCACTACACCACCAGGGCTCCGGAGTCAAAACTGAGTCTTCGGAAAATAATGGATCTGTAGTGTAAGTGAGAACAATCTAAAAGGATTGTAAATAAAAGCTGCTTTACTTACATATACTCAGTGCATTGTCTACCCTCTGTGCGCATTCACTGCTTTTAGGAAGACACTTACTTTTCAACTTGGCTGACAATACCCTCACCCTTTATCTAGCTCTGTTTCATGTTTTGTTCCTCCCGTATGCTTTCCATATGAAATTCAATTCAATCACCCAGGAAACCACGGCCAAATTAAGGTTCTATATAGCATCATTACTTTTAAACACTGTGAACGTGCTCATTAGTTAACTTTCTCAGATCATGTAAACAGTGAGGTTTACATTTTAAAGCAGCCAAGAAATACGAAGAATATAAACATTTCTGTAAGGTTGAAAATATTGAGGATATAGAAAGACTGGTGGCATAGTGATTACGTGTTGGGCTGTGAACTGCAAGGTCAGCAGTACAAAACAACCAGCCGCTCCTCAGGAGAAAGATGAGATTTACTACTACCATGAAGAGTTACAATTTTAGAAACGGGCAGTTCAACCTTGTGCAGGATCATTATAGGTCGAAATCAACTCTTTTATGTATCCGTCATACGATGAAATTTACAACTATTATTAGTGTTTTGAGTACCTAATAGGACAGACGAAAAAGATACTCTGGGAGGTTATTTTGTTATAATACAACTAGATCCTAGGTAAAGTACAGCAAATATGGCGTGTTAATGCTTGGCTAGCTACCATAAAGGGAGGGGAATAACCACGGCCAAGAGAACAAATAACGAATAGTGAGCTGAAACTGAAACAAGTGAATAGAGCAAGCAGCATTTGCATTACCTTGGGAGGACTGCTCAGGTGAGGAGAGCGGCGCATGATGAAAGGGTGAGAACTGAGCTTACTATTCAGTCATTAGGTTTAAGCCTGTATAGTAATGATGGCGTATCCAAGAGACATGAAGTCAGAAAATAAAGACTGCCATGCTAGAAAGAAAACACTATGCACCAGATTTAGTAGTAGAAAAAACAAGTAGATTGACCACTCAAAAGTTCTTCAGATATTAGTGTTTTACGACACCAACTATATAATTACATAAGAAATGTTAGGGGGGAAAAAGTTAGAATTGAAAAATAATAAGACAAATAAAAAAACCTTTTCAGTTATACAGATAATTTAAATGGAAAAGTTGAATGCTATTTTGTCACTCTACAGAATAAAAAAACAAATGGTAAGTCTATTAAAACTATAAAAGCTAAAATAGAAAAGAAACAATTTAGAGCTAAACAAAATACTCAGAATGGTACATGGACTTGGAGACATAAAATATGAAGGACGGGGAGAAGAGACTAAATAGGGCTTCTATAAATTTGATTTGAACACCATATGGAGAGAATAGGAAAGATGATCAGTTGGAAAGAAAGGTCCAGAAGATGAAAAACCAGAAACACAGCTTTACCACCCAGGATAAATACAAAGAACCCTAGATAGAGATACATTGCAGTAAAACACAAGGCACAGGTCACCAGTCCTTAGGGAGATATTAAAAGAAGCCAGAGACAAAAACAACCCACCTTCAAACAAAGACCAGGTAAAAGGCCCAAGGATCCTCAGGAGCTGCCAGAGCTGCCCAAGAGATGAGATCCATATGTTTAAAACACAGAGAAAATAACTGTCTAGAGTTGACTATCCAGGAAAACTCATTCTCGAAATGAAGGAGGAACCACTGACTTACAGTAAAGCTACTATAATAATAAACCTACTAAAATAATTAGAAGTGAGGGAAATGGTAGATGTTCATGAATTCATTCTCTATCCTATGCATTTTTCAGATGCCTAAGAGTTAATATATTGAACACTTAATATATGACAGAGGAAAGGCAAATACATGGAGCAAGCACATCTACCAATATGGGAAAACCACTGAAATTCGATAGCCATACCTCAGACCACAATTAAAATAATTCTACAATAGATACAACTCACTGCCAACATCAGTTCCAACTCGTACTGATACCCTATAGGACCGAGTAGAACTTCCCCGGTGGGTTTCTGAGACTAAACCTTATGGGAACAGAAAGCCTCATTGTTCTCCCACAGAGCGACTGGTGAGTTCTAACTGAACTTACATCTGCTATGGCACCAGGGCTCCTTACAATAAATTAAAAACATAATTTTAAAGAAAGTATGAGACTGTAGGACATTAAAAAGTGCCAACCATAAAATAATAATTTGTAATTTTAAGTACATTAAAACCAGTAATTGAAGAGAGAAGTAAAATACATTTAACCTAAAATTTTAATGGACAAAAGCATGAAGTCAGTGTACAGAATGGAAACCAGAAAGTTAAATTCACTGCCATAGAGTTGATTCAGGTTCATAGTGACCCAATAGGACTCAGTAGAACTGCCCTTGTGAGTTTCTAACTGTAACTCTATGGGAGTAAAAAACTTCCATCTTTCTCCATGGAGTGGCTGGTGACTGCAAAATGCTGTCCTTGTGGTTAGCAGCCCAGTGTGCCACCGCTCTGCCACCAGGGCTCCTCACAGAATAGGACAGCAAATAGTAATTTTTTTCTCTTTTTAAATCATTTTATTGGGGGCTCGTACACTACTCTTATCACCATCCATTGTGTCAGGCACATTTGTTGCCATCATTTTCAAAGCATTTTCTTTCTACTTGAGTCCTTGGTATCAGCTCATTTCTCCTCCCCCTCCCTCCTTCATGAACTCCCAATACTATTTTTTTCATGTCTTATACCAATCACTGTCTCCCGTCACCCACTTTTCTGTTGTTAGTCCCCCTGGGAGGGGGTTATATGTCGATCATTGTGATCAGTTCCCCTTTTCTCCCCCCCCCACCTTCCTCTTCCCCTCCTGGTATGGCTACTCTTAATATTGGTCCTGAGGAATTTCTCTTTCTTGTATTTCCAGCTCTTATCTGTACCCGTGTGCATGCTCTGGTCTAGCTGGATTTGTAAGGTAGAATTGTGATGATAGTGGGGGGTGGAAGCATTAAAGAACTAGAGGAAAGTTGTATGTTTTATCAGTGCTATATTGCACCCTCACTGACTCATCTCCTCTTGCCGACCCTCTGTAAGGGAATGGCCAGTTGCCTACAGATGGGCTTTACATCCCCATTCCGTATTCCCCCCTCATTCACAACGATATGATTCTTCTGTTCTGGGTCTTTGATGTCTTATACCTGATCCTGTCGACACCTCATGATCACACAGGCTAGTGTGCTTCTTCCATGTGGGCTGGGGCTTTGTTGCTTTTCAGCTAGCTGGCTGCTTGTTTATCTTAGTAAATTAATTTCTAAAGCATGCTCAGTATAATAAAGACCACCATGATATCTTCAATTGTAGTGGTATTGTCTTTTAGTTCTGGGGTTGGGAGGGTAGTTCATACACCTCAGTATTAATTGGGGTAAAATATACATATAAATTGGATTTTCATGCTTCATAACAAATCTCACACTCCTTCCCTCCCAAATATATATAGATTATATGCAAAATGAAAAGTTAAAAGATATAACATAGAAAAAAAGAACTAAATATGATATATAAACAGCAAATATAAAACTTGTGAGGATAAATAACATAAATTTGGAGGCACAATGGCAAAAAGACTTGATTGTATACTGAGGATAACAATCTTTCTTATAGGGGAGTGGAGAAAATTATTAAATAATATGTATGAAAAACATTTTTTTTAAAGAAATAATACGTATGAAACACTCCATATAATGCCTAATGCTGGCACACGATGCAAGAAATACCAGTTGAGAGGTTTTAACAATGGCTTTACTGCTGAAAGCACTCAGTAGCCTAAGCAAAAAAAATTGGAAGTCAGCTACCTGGCAAAATGACTGGACAAGATATACATTTGTACTCATTCCAAAGACAGGTGACTCAAAAGCATGCAAACAGTTGTATTAATATCCCATACAAGTAAATTTAGCTGGGGGGTAGGGTGGGGGGAGGGTTGCTGTAGTGCATCAACTGACAACTGCCAGAAATTCCAGCTAGATTCAGATGAGGATGTAAAATGAGGGATAGCTCATTGGTGATGTCTGATGGAGTTCGACTGAAAGCAGAGAATACCAGAAAGATATTTACCTATGTTTTACTGACCATGTAAAAGATATTCAACTGTGTGGTTCATATTTGTAGGTAATGAGAAAATTGAAATCCTAGACCATTTAAATATGCCTGTCATATGAACAGGACAAGAATACTGAATGTTTTAAAATCAGGAATGGTGTGCATCGGGAATGTATCCTTTCACCAATCTCCCCCAATCTTTATGTTGAGCAAATAACTGGACTATATAGGGAAAGCAGTGGCATCTGGATTGGAGGAAAACTAACAGTAAAAAAGCTTAACAAATTTGCTTGCTGAAAGTAAGGAGAACTGGAAGCATTTACTATGGTAAAAGATTATAGCTTTTGTACAAATCACACCTTAACATAAAGAATACAAAGACCCTTCAAAACTATCAATATGCAACATTATGATGGAGAAAAGAAGGACGCTGCCAAAGACTTCGTGTTACGTGGATCCATGAAAGCAGCAGTCAAGAAAATGCTGTATTGCATTGGGCAAATGTGCAGCAAAAGTCCTTTTTGAAGTGTTCGTTTTAAAAGCAAAGATGTCACTTGAAAGATTGAGGTGCGCCTGACCTAAGCCGTGGTATTTTCAGTGGCTTCACAGGCATGCAAGAGCTGGACCATGTGTGTAAGGAAGACTGAAGCAGAATGGATGCCTTTGAAATACATTGTTGGCAAATAATGGCTATACCATGGACTACCAGAAAAATGAACAGATCGTTTGTAAATACAGTTAGTTGCTAAGAGTCTGAACCAATTTGTTGCCTCCTAACACAGATGCAACTTTTTCTTTTGCAGAGCTGCTGTGAGTTTGAACCAGTAGCTAAGTGCTTACCAGTTAACTGTTGCGTCAACAGGATCCCTCACACATGCTTCTCTGTATATAACTTAATCTGGGTAGCTGCCTCCCCTGCCCCCATGATTTGTTTTCACAACCCTCTGGAAGTCTTCACTCTACTGATGTGATCAAATTATTTTGTATCTTCAGGCTCTCTTCTCAAGTGCAGGGGCTTTGTCACTCTTGAGAACCTCAAGGATAAAGCTTAGCTACATCCTATTGTATTTTGTTTTCTAATGACCTCTGTTGCCTTCAAAAACTGCTGCCACATTTGAGGTCTATCATCACCTGTCTCTCCTCTCCTCCTCTACTGAACTCACATCTGCCTACACCTTCCTGGCTTTCACTTAGGAATCCCTTACTCCTGGATCATTGTCCTCCTCTCGACTGCAATGCCTGGTGACTGCTACAGCCGCCTGCATAACCCACCAACTCTGATTTCTTAGTTCTCTATTGTCAACAAATCTACTTCAGCTTTCCAGTCTCATGATCTCAGATTGGACGATGTCATCACCAGAGATGGAGACATGTCTGATGTCTCAAGTTCATCCCATTATTTTACCGCCGCCTCACATAATTTTAGTTCACTTTCCCCAAGCTGTCCTCTGAAATCCTTTGACTCTACCACTTTCTCATTACCACCAATTTCTAGCTTTGTGGTCTTTCTTATCTGGTATATATTCTTTTAAAAAAGGCTGCCACCAAATATAGCTTCTGACTCATAGAGAGCATTTAGGACAGAGTAGAACTGGCCCCATAGGGTCCTCAGAAGCAGACTGACACATATTTCTCAAACTGCTAACTTTCCAGTTAGTAACCAATTGCCTAACCACTGCACGGGGCTTCTGATCTAGTCTAACTTCCTTCCCTGCTTTATTACTCTTCTCATGCAAAGACCTTAAACCCTCTCCCACCATTTTCGTCATTAAATCTATCCTGGGTGAATCCTGTCAGTGCATGCTGTAGCTTGAGTTGTTGACTGTTGACACAATCATTACCACCGAGGTGACTACTGTCCCTAAGTTCATAGTCATAAAGCCGCTAATGGACAAAATGTGGACAAAATCCCACATTTTTGTCTCTGGTAAGCTCACTTCCCCCCACACAGAGGTAACTGTTTCACACTTTGATATCTACCTTTGAGTCGCCCTCGTTCCTCTGTTTCCCCTGGTGGCACAGTGGGTTATGCATTGGACTGCTAACCACAGGGTCAGGAGTCGGAAACCACCAGCTGCTTCTCTAGAGGAAGCTTTCGACTCCCATAAAGATGTACGGTCTTGGAGACCACAGAGGCCATATTCTGTCGTACAGGGTCACTATGAGTTGAAATAGACCCAATGACAGGGAATGTGGTTTAGGAAATTACATTATACTTCAGTAAGAATATGGTTATCATTGGACCTAAAAACCATTTCCCATCATCAAAGAAATAAGCAAAAATCTATCAACATCTTTTCCCTTCAAAACTTCCACTTGTGCCGTGGGCGCCACATGTACTTGCCATCTCAAATACATCCACTCGTCGGTTCTTTTTCTCTAACCACTCTTGTGCCGCCCTTTCCCGAACTCATTATGCTCTGGTATGTTGTAGCACAGACCAAGGTCTTTCCTACCTCATGGTATTTGGCGCGTAGGCGCCTACTACCAGCCCAACCCCTCAAAAAGGCCTGCCTTCTCCTTAATATTATTCATACTGGTTTCAATTCCCTTTCCATTACCATTAGTTTCTATGTCAGCTGCTTGATGGCTTTCTATTCCATCTATAATAATTTAGAATTCTTTATGTACCATTATATACTCGAGTATAAGCCAAGTTTTTCAGCACAATTTTATGCAACTTTTGTGGTAAAATTAGGTGCCTCGGCTGATATTCGGGTCACCTTATACTCAAGTATATATGGTATCTATTGGCTGGACTATTTTCTCCATTACAATGGAGATAACATTTTGCTTACCATAGTCTCTCCAGAGCCCATCAGTGCTTTTTTGCAAATAGATGGCACTAAAATGAATTAGGTGAGTTATTGAATAACTCTGTATGTGTGCCTTTTCCAAATGGATGAGTTCACACTTTATATTAGTGACCAGGCATCTCACTTACATGTCCACATGCTCGACAATGATGCCTTCTTCTCGTCAGTGCGTTGAAAGACTCTTTACATTTCATACACATTGTGACTTCATTATCTCGGATCCACCTGGGAGCTCGCTTTCCTAGCTCAGCTGTCTGAAAAATGACAGAGATGAGTAATTTTACTAGGAAAAATGTTCATTCCTTTTAGGCGTTACAATGCTCAAACCGTATTCTGAAACTCAGACCCATGTAAAGAAATAACAAAAGGTCAGTCATAGGAGTTTAAGCTGCAAGAAAGGTACTCAACTATCATGTATCTGAGTAGAAATGTGATTTTGTTTGACCAACCAGTTTTGCCATTTCAAAGGGGGAGAAAATGTTTATGAGATGATTAGATAAGTATTTTGCAACTGTAAGAGATAAAAAGGGCATAAGGTTAAGAATTTAATGTAATTCAACTTACAGAAACCTCTGACTGACTGTCATTATCCTTTGCAATTGCATTCCTGAAGGTTTCATGCCTTTGATGGAAAGCATCAATAGTCTCTTGAAGGGCCTAAAATAGAAATGAAATGCAAAGCAGATTTTAAAGTATCACGTGCAAGCTAAATGACAATATTAAACATCTATGATGAGAACTGTCTTGAAATTAAATGAACTTGTTCTGATGACTACCTACTAAATACACACAATACTATGTGCATGCCTATATGAACACACAGAAGTTGCAAAAGAAAAAACAGAAATCAGGTTTACCTTGATCCATTCTTCTTTGTCTTGCTCAGAACTAAACAAACAAACAAAAAGCAAGCTTTAAAATGAATGCAGAGAATAGTAATGGGTTACAACTGGTGAATGAAACTATGCTTTGAGGTTGCTCCAACTCTCCAAAAAATTCAGGGATATCCAGGAAGGAATTACAACAAAAAATTAAGCAGAACCTCTGGCAATTGAACAGTAAATTCTTCTTTAAAATTTTTAGACCATCCATTGCCTTTAGTATACACACATTTCAGTGGCGACAGTTAAATTTAGCTTCCATTATTAATATACTCCTCTGACATTAGCAACAATAATCTTGTTATGTATATTATATGTACAATAATTAGTACATGGAGCATTATGCTGGATAGTAAAAAACTGGTCTTCCAACACCCCTTTCCATAAGCACATGAAAGCTATTACAGATGACTGGTCACAGCTCACCTTGGAAAATATTACAATTATCCTCTGAGAATCTAAAATATTTTTGTAAGGCCTTAGGGAGCCACAATACTGTTTTATAAACAATTTAATTTTCCCTATTGCTAAGAGGCTTTGGGCAATGCGATGTTTAACCCATTATAGGTAGAGCAAATATATCAAATGGTTTAATGTCCACAGGAAGGAGATTAAACTGATTAATGGACTTGGTTTTTAATAATTCTCTGGGAAAAATTTTTTCTTGATTTTAATCAAGTTCTCTGTTTTCCAATTTAGACCAATACTTATTTTACCTTCCTTGAAGGTAGCGTATGTAGCTGCCACCATTATATACCATATTTGAAATCTTCTTTAATGCACTCTGGACTGAAAACGCTACTTGCATGGAAGGAGGTTTTGAAATGTGAGCTGGTCTGCACGTGTTTGGTAGGGTAGGGCTGGGTGGTGTTCCAGCCTGAGTATCACAGGCTTTGTTTCCACAGGATCACATATTTATGAGTCTTCCTCCTGTGACACCATCTAGCTTTCTCACACACATCTTACTGAGCACCATGAGATGCCAAAAGTGTGCCTGGAGTCTTTGCCTCCCTTTGGGAGACTCTTGGGCCCAGAACTGAGGGGCTTCAACTATGTCCTCTGAAAAGTTTCTCTGCGCCCTGTTGCCTCCCCCCACCCCCACAAAATTAGCTGTCGCCTTGTAAGCATAGTTATCTGCTAGCTGCTAAGCTAGCATTTTACACACCAAGACACTTGACATGTTTCAATACTTTCTTTTTAGTTTTTTCAGTTCTGGCAGATTTTCTTTCTCTTCTGTGTAATTATCATGATAAATTTTATTTCTATTTAACCCAACCAAACCCAGTCGATTCTGACTCCTAGTGACCCCATAGGACAGGGTTTCCAACACTGCAACTCTTCACGGGAATAAAGAGCCTCGTCTTTTTCCGGAGCAGCGGCTGGTGGTTTTGAACTGACCTTTGTGGTTCGCAGCTCAGTGTGTCACCGCTAAACCACCAGGGCTCCTTATTTAGCAGTTTAAAATTGTTAAATGAAAATTGTATGAAATGATGTTTTATATTCTTTTGAATGTAAAAGAGGAAGTTTCTGTATAAAGGTCAGTTCTGAAGTTGACTCATAACCTTATCAAGACAAGCAGAAGCCCCCCCCCCCTGCCCCCGTTGGCTTCAAAAGCAAGTTCTCTTTAAACAACTATAAACCTATATTCAATTTTTGGTTGCGTGTAATTCCTCTGACATTGACTTTTTAGGACCTTCAATGTTTTTCTTCATACATGAGACTGGATCAAATCAAAAGTAATGACTTAAAATCTTCAGTAATATTATATAATCAGAACTAGGAGATGTGGAAGCAAAATTAAGGAAAAATAACTTTTTCATACTAATTGGGATGTATCCAATACTGCATCAGAATTGTGCGAAGCCAGGCCTGTGTGTACTTAGTGAGTGAATCCCATCGTGGAGAGAGAAAAGCCCAATGTGGAGATAGTGGCTAGAGTCTCCCTTGTAATCTATTGCCTGCTGTTCAGATGCATCTCCCCGGTTTGCAGGTGTGCAAGTGCACAAGAGTTCTGAGCCTTTCTCCTTCTGCAACGAGGATGTTCATGATGGTCAGGATTGCTGATGAGGGGCCCCAGGAGTCAGGGCCAGTAACCCTCCATTAACAGTTAAAGTGAGCCTCTGGTAGCATCAAGCATCCTTCCTTCTAAAATAATTTGTGGGTTTGTTGTTTTTTTTTAAGTCTCAAGTTTAAGCACTAACACCTCATTGCCATCAAGTCACATGGACCCTACATAGGGTTAAGGGAAACCACCTCATCTTTCTCTTGAGCAGCAGCTGGTGGGTTTGAACTGTAGACCATGTGGTTAGCAACCCAATGCTTATAACCACAGAACCACCAGAGTCCTTAAATGCCTAAGAGGGGGCAACAATGTGTAAGTGTGCTTGTCACATTTTATTGGGGGCTAGTACAACTCTTATCACACATGGATGGATGGATTGTGATAAGAGTTGTACGAGCCCCTAATAAAATGTTTTTTTAAAAAAAGGAATCAAACTTATGGCCTCACCAAAATAAACTTAAAAAATAAATGCTCAACTATTTAGCAGGGGGAAAAAAGAAAAGACAGTGCGCTTTCCCCATGACTTTCTGAAGCCCTCTCCTTCACATCTAAGGTGGGTTCATGTGGGCAGCCAGAGCCACATATTACTATCAGTGCAAAGGTGCTGACATCCGCAGAGATTTCAGCCCCATTAGAGCAGGGAGCAGTGACCTTCAAGAGAATTCAGATTTTCATCATGATGGGCCTTGACAGGACAAATTTATCCCAAAATAGCCACTGAAATATCTTCAAAGCAGGTGTTTCAATACCTGCAGTACTCAGGGTGGCTTCTAAAAGGTCGTGCAGAAGGAGCCGTGCTTGAATGCAGCGGGCCTCAGGTTTCCTCTCAATCGTTATTATGCCAGAAAGATAATCCCTGGAGATCCATCCCCTCCCTCCTGCTCAATGAAGCATTTGAAGAACAGAAATCCAGAGGCTGGGGAGCTCCATAGCGCCCTTCTTTCTTTGCACTCCAGCTGTAGCAGGAGAATCCTTGCCCCTACCACCAAGCCACCTCCTGACATTGCTCTCCGCATCACAGTGCCACTAAGGGCCTTGAGTAGAGAGCCTCTGGAGGACTCTGTCACAGCTCCACCCTTTAACGTGAATAAAACATCTGTGGACCAACGAGGGGGATTGTGAGAGAGAAGGGATTAGCATAAACGCCTTTTCTTACAAGCCTCAACATTCTGGCTTGCTTCCAGTCACTTGCTGAATGTCAACTGCCTCAGAAACTACCCTGGGCCCTGGAAGAGGAATCGGGTGAGCAAGGCAAGCTCTGTGACGTTCAAGAGCTCACGCCTGTCCTGTCCCTTTGCCTCCAAAACAGATTCTCAGAAGCACTCAAGCCTCTGATTCACTCTGCTGCTTTCCGAAAGCTCTGCCATAGGAAGGGTTCTCTTACCTGGCCTGCAGTTCCAGTGTTCTCTCTTTCCCAGAGACCTGGAAAGTGTGTGGATATTCTTCATTTTGAGTCTCCACAATTTTCATGCCATCGATGCCAACCCTAGTTCGAACTGTGAACTTAGACCCCACCAAGCTGAATCTGGGCACGCAGTACAGCAGCATGTCATTGAACTGCAAAGGGGCAGAACACATGAGGAAACAAGAAAAGTCAGACGGCAACAGACACAGAACCCTATGGTGTAAATTCCGAGGAATTGCTAGGAATATGATACTTTATATGTAATGTATCAAATTATCAAAAGACTGTATTCAAGTTTTAGAACACTTGCATTTGCTTCTATAAAAAATCATGATGCTAATAGATTTTTAAACATAAATTTCCCAATAGTTGGTTTCCCAACTATTGAAATGGAAGGAAACCATTTTTTCTGTTGTTTGACTAAATCCTTGTCCGAGCAGACAGCCTCCTCTTTCTCCTGCTGAGTGGGTTTGAAACCCCAACTTTACAGTTAACAGCACAACACTTAACCCACTAAGCTACCAAAAAACCCCCCACAAAAACCCAAACTCACTGCTATCTGGTCAATTGACTCTTAACGACCCTATAAGACCACCACCAAGACTCCACAATTTATTAAAGACCTAGGTGCCAGTAAATGGAATCCTTCAAAAGGTGTAGGTAGTTGCAAACCAGTTTTGAACCCAACAGTTGCTTCATATCAGAAAGATGCGGCTATCTGACCCCATAAAGATTGACAGCCTTGAAAACCCTAGCCAACAGTTTTATTATGAGCGACCCTATAAGGTTGCTATGTGTGGGAATTAGCTAGATTGCAGTGGACTTAGTAGCAGAAGCACCGGTGATGCTGTGGATTAGGTGTTAGGCTGCTATCCGTGAGATTAGTGGTTCAAATCCACCAGCCACTCCAAGGGAGACTGATGAGACCGTCTGCTCTTGTCACATACAGCCTCAGAAACCTATGTCAGTTGGCTCTAAGTCGGAATCCGGTGTTGCCAAGGATGGGGTTACTGCAGTAGCCATCAATCTTATCCAAACTGGTTCATTGCTTTGGCAACTAAGTGACACATGAAATGTCAGGGTATACAATTTTTAGTTATCCAAGATTTGTATTCAGGTTCTCTCTAAAGTTCAGGAACATTTTATTCAAACACATGTCCATGAATGTGGAGGCTCTTAGCATTTGCCTTTTGCAGTTTTGTCCATGCAAAACGACAGACTCCCTGGTAAATGCAGTTGGTTCTCTTCTCATGCTCTCAGGATGTTTTTCCCTCACTGTGTTCTTTCTATGGAGGGCTTGCATTCTATGTGGTCACTAATCATGTGTGAATCTTAGCAAACTTGGGCTACAATTTAATGCTAGTGCCTTGTCTTTCCTCTAGGGGTGGTGTGTGGATAGGAACCCTGGTGGCCGTAGTGGTTACACATTGGGCTGTGCTCCAAAGGGTGAGCAGTTTGAAACACCAGCCACTCCTTGGAAGAAAGACAGAGGGTTTCTACTCCCTGAAAACAGTTACAGTCTTGGAAACTAACAGGGGCGGTTCTACCCACTCCGATAAGATGCAATACTGTAATGATTCCATTAACATTGGTTTTAGACAGTAAGAGTAAATTGTTGGAACAAATTTCCAGTTTCTCCTCTGCGTTCAAAGCTTAAATAGGTCAAAGAAAAATCTGTGGCAGGTGACAGGAAATAAGGAACCAGAACACCTTTAAAAGCTCTAACAGCATCAGGTAGTGATTTTTGTTTTAACTTTCTGATGTCAGGTAGGGTTATTTAGAGTTAACACAAAAAAAAAATGTGTAAAAAAAAAAAAAAAAGATATGGAAGCAAGGAAATGGGCAACTGCATGAAGATCCAATTTTGCCCCTCAGGCAAGTGTAGTATTCCCAGAGTCGAAAATAGAAAACTTGCTCCATTTTCTTCCTAGAGAGACAGGAAAAAATTTCAAAGCGTATTTCTGAAGTTGCTAAATCTAAACATACAAAAGCAGCAGCTCTGTGAGAATAAAAAGTGTGCAGGAGAAAAGAGAGACTGACTAGGACAGTAAGCAACTACACGTTAAGTAGCAAAGGGCAGAAGGAACATAGCACAGGAAACGCTTCTAAGATGGTCTTTAAAAGATTAATGCCGTATTCCTAAAATTCTTGCCATGTGACTCCATTCTCGTGGGAGGCATTGGCATGATGTGTTTGATAGTTCATAACTGGAACAAGATGAGCTCTTTCTTCAAAGTGACTGTTGCTGTATTCCCCCAAGGCATTTTGCTATTTGTCTTCTAAGTAGCTGCTTAATTTGGCTCTCTATCAAGCCACTCAACTTAAAACTATTTCCAGAATAATTATAAAATGTGAAAAATAAACCAAACGGCTAAATGCAGAGTTTAACAAGTTTAACCACAGAAACAGTAATGCTGATCAGGAATAAGGAAAGCAAAGTGAACCAAATAGCAAAAGAATCCTGTTCAGACAAAGAGGACTCTCAGGGATTTTCCCCAAAATAGAACATTGGTCTGAACCTTACGTGACTGAATGTAAGAACTCCTTGATTAATAGTGGGCTCTCTGTAATATTTGCAAAACATGAAATAATTCAATTAATGGAAATGGGATGTTTATAGTTAATTTGGGTAATATTTTAAAAATAGTTTTTATTTGCATATACTTCACAGATCATACAATTTAATTGTTCAAACATATAAAGAACTGTGAAATCATCACCGCAATCTGTTTCAGAACATTTCTTCTCATACTTATTGTTAGCTCCCCATTTCCACCCTTCTCTGCCTTCCCGCCCATGTAATTATTAATCCAGTTACTATCTCTACAGACTCACCTGTCCTGAATTCCACACATGGGAAATCACACAAATGCAAACAGGAAGCAAGCAAACCTCAACAACAACGACTAGATGAAACACAGAAAAACCAAAACAACTTTAACTGGATCAAAATGGAAACTAAATGATAAGGTATGACATTTTACAATGACTTTACAATGCTCCCTGATATCAAGGCTATTCACATCCCTGGACTATGTTCAGACGGGATTCACCAGAGGCTTAATGCATGTGGGAACTCTGCACATCGATCAGACTTCTGCAAACTGTGTGTTCTGCCTCCAAGCTGATTCCATTCCCTCCTTCAGATTAGAGTATTAATCCTTAAGTCACAAAGGCTGGCGTGCTAACCATGTGGATTTAGTTGACCATTCATTAGCTGGCTGCTTGTTTGAAGAAAAGCCTTTAAGACCTCAGATGCTACTCTTTGTGATAACTGGGCACCATCTGGTTTCTTCACCACACTTTGCTATTAGCACCTGTATCTTCCGTGATCTCTTGATTGGGGTGAGTATCAAGTAGGGCCAGGTCATAAGAACTAATCGTTTTTAGATTTGGGCTGGAATTAAGTGTCAGATCAAAATCCATTCATGTTTTTATGGTTTACATATGTCACTGGTTCACTTAGAGACATCATTATTACCATCATTTTCATTTTATGATAGAAAACATTACAAATCATCCCCCTGGGGCATATAGTAATCCTTTTGATAGTGTCATTAATTTAGCTAATGGAATAGAATTGAAGACATTATTGACAAAAGGATATTATACAAGAATAGGCCAGCTTTTCAGACTGTAATACATAAACTATTCATTTGTACAGATTAAATTCATCAGTGACAAAACACTATTTACATGAATAATGGGGGTTGGTGATAGGGCAAAACTTTCAATAACACTCACTCACAAAGGCAGAATGATGCCTTTTAGACTAATACATGGCATAAGAAAGCATGGAGGACATAAAAATAATTTGATTTATGGTAGTCCTGGGCCACACTGAGCACCCTCAAAGCAAGACCAAAGTCTAAAGGGGAACTGAGGAACAGGGAGGAAGACAGACATAACGGTTTTGGGGAATGCACAGTATTCCATTGTGTGCATGTACTAATGTTTCTTTACCCTTTCTTCTACTCATGGGCATTTGGGCTGTTTACAGCTTTTTGGTATTGTGAACTGTGTTGCAATGAACATGGGAGAACATATTGTTTTGTCTTAGTTCTAATCTGTCCCCATCATCTCCAGCACTTTTTTTTTTAATTGGGCTACCATTGCTATCTCATCATTGTTTTGATTGGCAGCTCATGGATGGCTAGGAATTGTGAGCATTTCCTCATGTGCTTGTTAGCCATCCAAGTGCTGTCCCTTATGAACTGGCTATTCATGTCCTTTGCCCACCTTTTAATTGGATTTGTTTTCTCATTGAAGTACTGCAGACATCTATACTAAACCTCACTCACTGCCATCCAGTCAATGCTGACTCATAGCGACCCCCCATGGGTTTTGGGGCCTGTAACTCTTTGCGGGAATAGAAAGCCCAGTCTCTCTCCAGTGGAGCTGCTGGTGGTTTTGAACTGCAGAACACGAGGATCTCAGCCCAACTTGTAACCACTATAGTACCAGGGCTTCTTGCAGAAATCTGTAGATTTTAGTAATTAGTCCCTTGTGTCACTGTGAAGGATTTTTTTCCCATTCTGTGAGTAAAACCAGAGTTTTACTCTTTTGCTGTGCATAAGTGGTGTCTTGTTAAAAGGTCCCAGATCTGTTTTTTTCTTCCATTGTGTGTGCCTCCTTTATTACAGTTGGTCATCTGTGTATGCCCTCCATACACAAGTTTGTCCTAAATTTCGCACTGATGATACTTACAGCTCTGGGGTTTACAGTAAGGTCTGTTATCTATCTTGCGTTCATTTTTGTGCATGGGATGAGGTAATTTTGATACGTGCTATCTTTTATTATTGTGACATTAACTCACATCATAAAAATCCAGCCTTTCAAAGTACACAAAAATCCACTGTCGAAGTTGATTGATACTCAAAGACTTTATAGGACCCAGTCAAACTGCCCCATAAGGTTCTCAAGGCTGTACTCTTTAGGGGAAGCAAACATCTTTCTCCTGTGGAGTGGCTGGTGGGCCTAAAGTGCTGGCCTTTTAGTTAGCAAACCAATGCTTAACTACCATGCCAGCAGGACTCCCTTTTAAGTGTAGAATTCATGGTTTTCAGGCAATCATAAATTGAGCACTCACCACTACTACCTAATTTGAATATTTTCATCAGTACTTGCAAAGAGCCCCATCCTCATCCCCTTCCCCCAGCATACTCACCACTTGTTCTTGTCTCTACATATTGCCCATTAATGGAATCATTCTTTATGTAGTTGATGGGTTTCTATCACTGCATAATGTTTAAAGGTTCATCTCTGTATCCATGCTGTAGCATGAGACACTACTACTTTTCTTTTAGTTGCTATATAAAGTATTCCATTATATAGATATTCTACATTTTTATTATCTATTAATCAGGTAATGGACATTTCGGATGTTTCCAATTTGGGGCTATTATGAGTAATGCTGTTATGTACAAGTTTTCTGTGGACATGTGCTTTCAGTTCTCTTCAGTTACATACATGAGTGAGTAATTGTTGGGTCCTGTGGTAACTAAGTCAGTATGGAAAGGCATTTGACTCTGTGGATCAAAACAAATTATGGATAGCCTTGAAAAGAATGGGAATTCCAGAATATTTCAATGTGCTCATGTGGAACACCTGTATCTGGATCAAGAGGCAGTTGTTTTATCAGAACAAGAGAATACTGCATAATTTAAAATCAGGAAAGGTGTGTGTCATGGTTTTATCCTCTCACCATACTTATTCAGTCTGCATTCTGAGCAATAATCAGAGAGGCTGGAATATATAAATCAGAAGGTGGCACCATTAATGACAGGGGATTGGCAGATGACATGAACTTGCTTGCTGAGAAAGTGAGAAGGTCTTGAAGCAAATGCTAATGAAGATCAAGGATTGCAGCCTTCCGTATGGCTCAAGACTCAAGGTAAAGAAAACCCCAATCCCCAGAACTAGACAACAGTATTATCATGAGAAATGAAACAATGATTGAAGTTGTCAAGGATTTCATGTTGCTTGGATCCACAGTCAATGCTCACAGAAGCAGTAGTTAGTGGATCAAAAGACACATTACATTGGGTAAACCTGAAGCTTAAGACCTCATTAAAGCGTTGTAAAAGCAAGGACTGTAGTGCATGTGACCCTAGCCATTGCATTTCCAATAGCCTCAGATGAATGAAAAGTTGGGCATTGAATAAGGAAGACCATCATGAAAAGGGTAAATTGTCTTCAGTATATAGTAGTAAAGGGGGGCCCTGGCCGCTTAGTGGTTACACCCTGGGCTGCTAGCCATGAGGTTAGCAGTTTGAAAGCACCAGTTGCCAGGGAGGCAAAGATTAAGGTTTCTACTCTCAAAGAGAGTTACAGTCTCGGAAACGCATAGGGACAGTTCTACTCTTATACAAAGGGTCACTATAAGTCAGAATTAATTTTACAGCAGTTGAGTTATGTGTTGGGTTGCGAGCTATAATGTTAGTGGTTCAAACCTGCCAATGTCTCTACAGGAGGAAAAGGAAGCTGTTTGCTCCCATAAAGATGTACAGGCTTGGAAACCCTGTCCTACAGGTTCACCATAAGTCAAAATCAAGTCAATGATAATGAACCTTTTTTCTTTTGCTTATTATAGCAGTAAAGTTGCAGAGAAAGTTATACAACATTGTTTCAAAAACAAGATTTAGCTCCCAGAAAGAACAGTCACGTAAGTGAAATACTGACATTGAGGACTAAACTGGGTTAGCTAAGATTGCTTGGGTGAGCAAGCATCCTTTCTCAAGTTGCACATACAACATGATGAATTACTCTCATAAGTACTCACTAAAAACAGGTAGCGCTCCTGTGCTGATGTGTTTCGAGCAGCCAATTTGAGGATCTGCCCTTCTTTTATTAGTTCATTTGAAGGATTTACAATGTCTTCCTCTTCTCCCAACATTTCATAAATCTCTAAGAGTTTCTTGAGGTTCTCCTAGGAAATTAAAAGAGGGCATGCCAATATCAAGTAGAAAGTTTTCACTTGGGGGCTCTGCCAATACTATGGTCTTAGCTAAAATTCAGTCATTTCCAATGGGATTGGGGAATAAGAATGAACAGTGATACAAAATGCATTAGTTATCAGCAAAATGAAAGCTTAGAGAAGAGGGGAGAGAATTATTCCAAATAATATGTCAATTCATTCTGGTTTAAACCTATAGAAAACGGGTCGAAATTACCGACGGTTATCTAACCAAAAGGTTCCCGTCTCCTGAAAAACACTTACCATTTTTCTTATTGCACTGTTAGAATGACTTGCTGCCGTAGATATAATTTCAAGTGATTCTAAATGGGGGGAAAAAAGAAAAGTAAATAAAAATGCTTTGTTCCTACTAGACTGCTTTATAGCTGAATAACATTAATTTGTAGGTGAACAACATATACATGAAAATAGGAAATCTGAGACCAAAGAAAGTGGGAGTGGTTAATATTTACAAACTGGCTACTTTTAGCAGATGATTTGGAACATGAAGGCACAGCATCCCTTCTACGTCTGCACATATTGACCATGTGTAGTTAGTGCACAGCACTTTCTCTTAGATGCTACAAATTTACAACCTTAACTGGCAAGAATATTTGTTCCATTTGGCAGATGATGGAAACAGACATGTGCCACGACTTGGTTAACATCACACAGAGGGCTGGGAGCCGAATCTCGGTCTTCTGACTCAAGGTCAGCATATTTCAGTAGTAGCATTTTATTAGGTCTATGGCAAACAAGCCACCACTTTTCCCAGAGAGCAATTTGTCCTCACAGTTCTAGCCTCTGTGAGTTGGAAGGGCATCTCTGATGGTTTTGTTGGGCTTGTAGTGGTGAGAGAAATGGGAATGGGGGGTTGGGGGGAAGGGAAGGAACTCTAAGGACTGCTGATAAAAAGCTATGGAAGCGGAGGGCCTCCTGCTATATCCATACCAGGGAACAGCGCTTACTCGCAGACCGTGTACTCTTCCTTTCTTTTCTGTCCTGTGAATAGTGGCCTGGTTACTTATGTTACCACAATACCTCACCACTTACAGAGCACATTTTTTTGGTGTCATTATGGCACAGAATGTACTGCGTTTCCTAAATATTTATTAGGGGGCTTCAAAAAGTTTGTGGAACAATCCCATTTTGAAACCTAAGTATAAACATATATAAATATATTTCTCCTTTTAACATATAAAATCCAGTGACAATAAACATGGTCATTATGTTGCTAAATGTATTTTATGCACACACACACCAGCCAATTTTAGGTCACAACAAGTCTTTCTTTTGTGATTCTTGAAATTTTGGTCAAGTAGCAAAGGAGTAAACAAACTACCCCTCCAAGTAGCAAGTTGGGTCAGGCCTGCTTATTAACTTCTGAGATCAGATGAGGTCAGGTGTGTTCAGTGGGGTATGGCCATGAACTTCCCTGTTTTTTGTTTTACATTTGGAGAACCATCTGGATTTTAGGATTTCTGTGCTTTCAACACAAGGCCCAGAGTAAAGGGAGGCAAATGAAAACAGGAATAGCAATGGTGGGTCCATTCCAATCCTACCACTGGTTCTACCATGACAGCCAAGAACTCAGGCCAGAAGTGTGCAGAGTAGAAGCAAGGCCAAGCTCCTAGGACGTAGTGGGTTGAGTGGAAAAAGTATGGGTAATTCGACACTGTATATGGAAAGAAAAGAAAAGTTCCTGGGCCACCAAAGGGCTTAGACAATGGGTTATCAGAGAAAGTCCTTGTTCAAAAAAGATTCAGGAAGCAAAGATTGTGTTGACAGAGTAGCAGTGGTTTGATTCTGCACTAATATTTGGTGTTATCAATCCATTTCTACTTCTAAAATTTTCATCCATCCCTTCAAAGTTAGTTGATTTTAAAGGGACACGAGCAAGTTAAAGTTCAAAATCAAGCAAAAAATGAACATATTAAACAAATGTGAAGTTATTGTCTCTGAAATGCCCTTCATTTAGGTCTACACGCTTCTGGAAGTGGTGGTGGATCTCTTCTACTCTTCAATTAATCCAAACAGCTGTTGAGGTCTCCTTGAGAGACAAAAACAAGTCTGCAGGGGCACAATCCAGGGCTTATCAGATGGATGGAGTGTGGTTTTCCCCTACAAAATGTTGATAGGACAGCTTTGGTTACCCTCAAAGAAAGAGCAGGTGGGTTGTTGTTGTTTAGGTTTTTTTTGTTTTTTAAATAGGAAAATGTATAATATCTATGAATTGAATTTTTTCATAATTATCCAACATATTCAAATTGTACCAATTGTTAAATTCATCCATACAAATTAATTCAGAGCTGAATTATTTGAAGCAAAACAATATACAAAGAAAACTGATGGATAATACAGTAGCTAGTTTCTTTTAAAATTTTCACCACTAGCTTTGCACCTTTGAAACATTCTGGGTCCAGAACCTTCCCAGTTTATCATCCATAAATTTTTTACACAAATTTCTAAATTGTCCACCATGGTGATGACAATCAGTTGCATTCTTTTGATTTAAAAACTTCATAATTAAAAATTAAAAGCTATTTCACAAAGCAGGATATGTATTTCTATTTAGATGTGATGACTTCAGATACTAAAATAGTTTCACTCTCTTCAAGTTTATTCATTTTTAACCACAGCATGGCATGGACATAGAATTCGATACAGATTATGGTATATCCTTGCTGCTATTGGTACTCTCAGCACTACAGGAACTAGTTCAATGCTTTGCACACATTACAATCGAGCATTCAGTGATAGAATTCTTTTTTGATAAAATATGTGTTTAAAGGAAGTTAATTTTCGAATCTCTTAAAGGATTCAGCGTTTGTTTTGGCTTTCAACTTAGTTATTGCTATTTCACTGTCCCTGGGTATAAAATTATATCACTTTAAACTTTGCTTCTACTGTAGCAAATAAGTTTGAATTATTTAAAATAATTTCTAAAACAAGTGATGTTTATAAAATAATATTTAAATTTGAATTTTGATATTAAAACATCTAAAATTTAGTACGGAAAATTGGTTCCATTTTGGAATTACGCCTTCTTCTTTGCTCGACCTTTTAGTGATCTTCTGTTCCGTGATGTTCTGCAAGTCACCCCACAGCTCACCGGGTCTTCTGTTATTAGTGCTCAGCGTGTCAAACCCGTTCATGAGCTGTTCTTTAAATTCGGGCGGGACACACTCAGGGTCTATCAAAGTATTTTGGCTCTCTTGGGCTTGTTTTAATTTTCTTTTTTTGTTGTTGTTGTTGTTGTCGTAATGAGAAATGACTCCTTGTTGCAACTTTGCCGGCCTTTTTCTCATCAATGCAGTTTCAGTGTTCTTTAAACTCGGCAGTTAGCTGTCATGAGTGGCTTGGGTCCTTTAGGAACATGTATCAGATGATGCTTTCGGAATCCCCCTCAAACAGTTGTCATAATCGTCTGAGCTAATCAGTCTTGGATTTGACTGGCCAGCAAATCTCCCCTGGGAAGCTGCTGTTTTGATTGAACCAAGTGTGTGACTGATTTGCAGCCACCCGAGCATCTGTACAATGAATGCTTTGTAGCAATACTTTTGGACTTAGCCTTGTATTTATTAAAACTCTTGAGCTTTAAGAAAGCATTTTCTTTATAATGAGACAACTAACAGAATGGGAATAGAATTTCCCTAGGGTGCTAGTGGTGGGGTGGGTGGAGTCAATGTTGCTTAGGTTATTTTTACATAGTAAATGTCATCTCAGCTCTCTTGGTATTCACTAACCTATCTAATTAACGCAGCAGCAGTGGAAATTCTGAATGGCTGCATTCTTCCTGTGAGCAGGTAATTATGTACTGCTATTCCAGATGTCTCTGAGACTACAGTTTTATATTTCCAAGTTAAGTATTAGTGTGAAGCGACCACGAGAAATGTGATTTGCATTGCTTTAAAGTTGGGATTTGGGACTCAAATGTGACGACTGATTTCCAGTGAGATTATTTTCTGGCAGCAATATTTTACTCAAGCGATTCTGAGTCATATCTCACTTGGGAACCACTACACTGCTTGGCCACTTTGCTTATCCCATACAAGGGAAAAAATAGGGAAAAAAATTACTTTTAGCATCATTCCAGTCCAGGGAATCAGGTGGCAACTGTCTTAGGTAGTCCTTGAGGAGGAGCTCATACCGGGGTATCCGCTGAACAGGTTCTAGCATATGATGCTGCAGAGTCAAACTCCCGCAGATCTTCTGTCTCTGCAACGAGAATGGGTTTTATGGATTAACTACAATCTTGCCCTAATGCAGAACTTCTACCAAGAGCAGTGCGTTGCTATAAAATGTGGTCTATGCATTATTTGCATTAGATCTATCAGGATGCTGTTAAAAATGCAGATTTCTTGTAAATCACAATCTTTGGAGATGAAGCTGGAGAAGATGCATCTAATAAAACCTCAGATTCTTAGAACATTAAAGTGCTTGAGAACCACTCATCTAAAGTTAGAATTTTAAGCAAGAAAATTCCAGATTGTTGGCAACTACTTCAATTAGACACTAGACAGGTCAGTGAGTGTCTCATTCAATCCTCACACTCACTGCCATCAAGTCATAGCAACCCTATAAGAAAGTTTAGAACTGCCCCGGTCGGTTTCTGAGAATGCAACTCTTATCTTAGCAGGAATAGGAAGCCTAGTCTTTCCCCGATGGAGCTGCTCGTGGTTTTGAACTGTGGACCTTATGGATGGAAGCCCAATGCATAACCACTGTGCAATCAGGGCTCCTCTTAATCAATCACATATCAGATATTTTTAAAAAGAAGCAACAACTTAATGAGGTTTCCTGAGCAGAAACAATTTCATATCTTACAATACCCATTTTCTTTGAACTTTTAAAAGACTTCATCTAGAAGAATGACAAGATCTGGGCATCTAATTATCTGTCATAAAAATTTTATATTTCAATAGGTCAAAACATTCTTTCCCTTAGGAACCAAACTCTGTAAATAAGTCTCCTTTTCTTAGGGCAAAATGAGTCTATAGCACTTGTATTCAATAAGCTATTAACATAAGAGTAGGAAACTATCAAAGGAAAAATCCCATTAAATATGTTTTGAACTCATGGCACCATGGGTGTAAAAGTCATATTGAGATCTGGTATTTGCAGTCAGGCAAACAAGTGACTACAGGCTTCCTCCCAGAGAAGGGAGCGTTAACATGTGGTAGGTGAGAAAATCATTGTCATCAGCTCTAACTCACAGTGGCCCCGTTGAACAGAGTAGAAATCCTTTTCAAAGCCCTTGGAGTAGTAGTGGTGGTTTCATACTAAAGACCTTGTGGCTAGCAGCCCACTGTGCCACCAAGGCTCCTTGACTGTTCTACTCCTGTAACGAGTTACAGTCTCTGCCTTGCCTTGTGGGGCCGCTATGAGTCAGAATGGACTTGGTGGCGGGGAGTTTGGTTTGAGGCCAAAAAATGAGGATGACCAGTGGCAAGTCCACAGGGAGGGGATGAGACAACAAAGGCACAAGAAAAGGTGGCGTGGAACATGTTCTGTAAAAGAGAATGGGTTTTGTTGTGTTTTGCTGGACTTCAAACAAGAATCATTTATTTGAAGTTTTTAAAAGTCTATAGACCAATTACTACAAAACCTAAATTAAGTTTTAAAATATTGTATGAAAGGTAAGAATACATAGTTCTACTCGTTTATAGCTTCAAAAACCATAATGATTTTCCCAACGGATTTGTGCATTCCCATCTATTTTGTTATAAGCTAGAGGTCGGTTGGCAGTGGCATTTACAAATAAGTTGGATAAAAGCAGCCACACTTTTATAGTGCTTACTGCACACCAGGGATCTAAGAGGTTTTTGAACCTAAGATATAAGTAGACTGTCCTTATGTTTCATGTACCAGAGAGGTTGCACTATTAGAAGTTGAGCCACAACTACAGCCTGGTTGCTGGCCCTGGACTAAGTACATTAACCACCACATGCACAGTCTCCATCACACAGGCAGGCCCAAAGAAAACCAACAACCCAAACTCACTGTCAAGTCGATCCCCGCGGGCTCAGAGAAGCCAATGCAAAAGCAGTATTCTCAGTGTCAACCTTCTACTGGCCTGGCCAGGTGTCCAAGCAAACGGAAACACAAAAGCTGGAGAACCAGAATCAGAAAGATCAGGACTATGTGGCCATGCATTTAAGTGGATTTGGCTCCCAGTGTGGCGCAAACACTTCGTGCTCCCCTACTAACCTAAAGGTTGGCAGTTCAAACCCACCCAGCACCCATGGAAGAAAGGCAACAACCTGTAGTTGTACGATTCCAACCAAGAAAACCCTATGAAGTGGTTCTATTTTGTAACACATAGGGCACCATGAGTCAGTATGACTCATCCAGCAAGGCTGCTGATGAGATTTTCTGAAAGTTTTCACTAAATTATGAACGCTGAATACATTATATATTATTTTTCCCCTTGTTAAATATCCAAGTTCCAATGGAAATATTACTAAAATTTAATCTCAAACTTTGCAGCCTTATCTACACAGGTCAGTGTTTGTGTGTTTAACTTCTTGTTTTCAAAGCACATCAGTTTCCCATTCAACAATCCATGCACACATTGTTTCATGTCATTGTTTACATCCTCCCTGTGTTTCCTGGTCCTATTCTTCCTTCTTTCCTGGCCCTTTTGAACTTTGGAGCTAATGTGTGCACGCCACCCTAGTGTTATAATTTCCATTATAGATTTGTTTGTTTGGGGCTGAAAATTGATCTAGGAGGGCGAGTTCATGTCTAGACCTGAATGGTGACAAAGGGCCATAGTTCTAGCAGTTCTACCAGGCTCTGGCCAGCAGGCCTGGTCCCTGATGATTTTGAATTTTGTTCTACATCCCCGCCCCCTCCACTTTATCCGGGAACTTCTAATGTGATGCCTTTCAAAGCAATTGAAAGTGGCAGCTGGGCATCATCTATTTCTTCAGGTGTTGGGATCGTGTGGGCCTTTAGTCCATTGGACAAATTGCGACCATGTATCTTTGATTTTCTTCCTCCGCTATCCTCATAGAAAGACCAATAGGTGCACCCTAGATGGCAACTAACAAGCTTTTAACATCCTCCTTGCTACTCGCCTAGTAGAATGGAGACCCATATGTCTTTGTGGACTATGTTATGCTAATGGACTTGGTGTCCCCAAAATCATGGTGGTCAGACCCTAAAGGTGTTTGGCTATATCTACGCCATTTTCATAATGTTGCCCCTTGTTTGCTCTAAGACATTCATAAATACACTGGCAGCCAAGGTAAACACACATATACAAACTCACCGTTCCTTCCACTCCATTGAGTCTTTCCCTGTCTCCGTCATTCTTTGCTGAGCTCCCTCTTATTATATCTGGCTTTCCCGCAGCTTAGCATGTGCCTTTCCCCCTGACCCCTCCCGTTAGGGAATGACTTGCCCTTTCACCCTGGTAACCATTCACAGAATATTTTAGCGTGAAATTTTTCCTTGAATTTTTACAGTAGTAAAACTATTATTTAAAATTTGTAATTTATCTCATTGTGTATATGATCTTGTGATGGACTAATTTTAATCAGCTTAAGGGAATGAGTACACTTTGTTGACATATAAGATAGTCACAGGAGAAGAGGCGATAAGGTAATCAAGGTTGATAATGTCAAGAGCCTTAAGTGCCAGGCTGAGTTGAGTTTAGATTTGCCTCATCTAAGGCAGGTTTTTGCTCAGGGGAGTAAAATCATTTGAGCGCAGCTCTCCTAAGGTGCCTGTCAGTGGAGCATGGCATTAGGGCAACATGGGGAAACTAGTTTATCACTTAAAACCAAAGAGAAAGTGACAAGCAACTGAAACCAGCAGAGAAGCTGAAGGGATAATAGCTTCCATACAAACTATAAAATATTAATGTTATACCTTTAGTTGTCTCATTTTCTACAATTAAGCTTTTATATACATACATATTACTGGTCTCCAAAGTTTTAATGAAGAAAATGACTTTAGGAAACCCCACTCTCAGTGACAGACTAGGAGCCTACACTACATTATTTGGTTCCTAGATCAAATATTCTTTTCACAAACATGTATATTTTTTTTCCCCAAAATATGGAAATTACAGAGATAGAATTTAAGATTTGAAAAAATGGCATCTATTAACCACAATTAATTAGTGATTACTTACTAAGTGGACACCTGCCCCTCCACCCAGAAGAATTTATTTCAAA